CTTCCGTGTTTTCAAGTCACAGATGAAAAAACAAAAACAAAAACAAAAACAAAAACAAAAACCACTCTGGCAAGAGATTCCTGCAGCCTTGAAAGGACTCACTGGACTCCCTCCTGCTGCTCTCCAACAGCTTCCCAAGGTAATGCTTCTCTTGTCAGAGTCAACAACAGAGGTTGTGGGAACCAACTTCCTGGTCCTCAGCTGCTTCTCCACTTCTTACTGTCTGTCTTGTGTTCACTCGGCTGCTTTTAGGGCCACAAGAGCTTAAATCGCCCACATTTTCTACGTGTAGACCATAAAACTGAGTGACACAAAATTGAATAAGGAAAGAAAGTAAAAACCGAATTATAAGATGAAAGTTCAAGGTTGTCTGTGGATTCAATATATTCCTTTAAATATGAAAACTTGTTGTCAAAATTAATGAGATATTTATGTAAGCACTGTCTCTTAAGGTTACATTCAATTGTGGGTGGATGGTGTTCACAGCAATCACCAAGGCCCTGAGGCTGCCTCCTTTTCCCCCAACGTGGCTAACAGGTTTTTGGTGGTGCATTGAATTGAATTTCCCACAAACTTGGTGAATTAAAACAACCGGTGAATTAGAAACAACCCCAAACCTTACGTCCAAGTCCTAATCCATGGTATCTGTGAATGTGACTCTGTCTGGAGAAGGGGTCTTTGCAGACGTAATTGATTAAGTTATGGACCTCAAGATGAGATCATCCTGGATTTAGGGTTGGCCCTGAAGTCGATGACCTGTCCTTGTAAGAGACAGGAGTGGGGAAGACACAGAGAGACACAGGGAGAAGAACATGTGAAGATGGAGGCAGAGACTGAAATCACGTGCCTACAAGCCAAGAAATGCCAAGGAGTACTGGCAGCCTCTAGACACAAGGAAAGAGACATGGAATCCATTCTCCTTCAGAACCTCCAGAAGAACCAGCCCTGCCCACACCTTAATTTTGGACTTCTGGCCTCCTGAACTATGAGAGAACAAATTTCTGTTGTTTAAGTCACCCAATCTGCAATAATTTGTTACGGCAGCCCTAAGAAACTCATACACTCTACCCTCGGTAATTCTTCGTATTTCTCACTGTTACAGCTTATTTACTACACCCCGAACTGCTGCTACAGTTTCATTATAACAGGGATTGGCTTTTTTTTTTTTTTCTGTAAAGGGTGAAACAGTAGATGTTTTAGGTTTTATGTGCCATGTAGTCTCTGTCACAGCTACTCAGCTCTGCCGTTGCAGGGCAAGGGTAGCTGTAGACAATATGTAAAATCTGGACAGGATTGTGTTCTAATAAAACTTTATTTGCAAAAGCAGATGGTGGGCCAGATTTGATCCATTCCATAGTTTGCTGACCCCTGAGTTATGATGTTCTCACCTGAGCCCCTGGTTCCCCATCTCTTGGCCATCCTCCTAGAGTCCCCTCTATACCATTTCTCCCGGAAGCACTAGGAGGTCTTCATGCAAAAAGACTTCACATGGCTTGTTTCGATTCCTCAAGTTCTTTGATGGAGACTTGCTTTAAGTTCCTACTTTCACCATAGCTTATTTAAAATAATCATCTGGCCCAATTTATTTCCCATTTTTGCAGTTTAAAAAAATTCCCATCATGAAATATCATTTTCCCCTTTTTCTTACATCCCACAGACCCATTTTCATAGAGGATTTGTGGAACTAACGATGGTGGCATTCGTGACTATCACCGGCTTGTGTTGTGCTGTCAGCTGCTGGAGACTGTGCTTCGAGGTGTGTGGGTGGCTTCAAACACTCGGGGGAGAGCAGCGTTACCGCTCCACACTGCTGAGGGAAGGAAATCACAAGAAAAGAAAGAGGAGGCTGTCAACTGTAGGTAACTTTTATTTTAAGATCAAGCACAAGAGGAGCGGAGGAGGCTGAAGAGAGAGAGAGAGAGAGACTGATTCTTCCAAAACAATAAACGATTATTTGGAAGCAGGGAATATAAGCTGAGGGGGAAGGAGGCAAAATAAACAAAAGAGAACTTTTGTACCAGTAAATCAAAATCAATTACTCAGTCTATATAGGACAGTGGAGCTTTCCGATACAAGTGTCAAGGTGAGAGAGGAGGATTTACTTGGATTCAGAAATAGTTCAGGTTGAAAATGGAAAGGAAACCAGAAAACTTCATGAAAAACCTGAGACAAAGAGGCTCCAATCTAGACCATTCGTCCCTCCTTCTACTGTCTAGTTTAGTCCCTAGTTAGTTTCCTCTGGCTACTGTAACAACTTCCCACAAACTTGGTGAATTAAAACAGCCGAAACTTATTCTCCCCCAGTTCTGAAGGACAGAAGTCTGAAATTTCAGCCCCACGGGGCTGAAATCGAGGTGTCAGCAGGGCTGTGCTCTCTTAGGAGGCTCTAGGGGACAACTGCACCCTGCCTCTCTCAGGTCCGGTGGCTGCCCGTGTTCCTGGCTCGTGGTCACGTCACTGCAGCCTCTGCCTCTGTGGTCACACTGCCTCCTCCTCTTCTATCTGCCTTCCCCTCTTCTCTCTGGGTCCCATCTGCCTCCCTCTTACAAGGATCTGTGAGATGACCTTTAGGGTCCATACAGATAATCCAGGATAATCTCCCCATCTCAAAATCCTTAATCACATCTGCTGAGAGCCTTTATGGCCTGATGTAAGGCCACAGGTCATATAAGGTAACATCCACAGGATGTGGATATCTTTAGGGGCCCATGTTTTAGCACTCCACAGCCCCCAGACTTTATCAACAACAAGAAAGAAAGAAAGGGAAAAAAGAGAAAACAAAAAAAGGCACAGTTTGTAGACTCGGCTTCCTCAGAGGGCAGTTTAGCCAGCCCTTGTGCAGGATGAAGGGGTAGGGAGCGGAAGACTGGGTCCATTTGTTCAATATTTCTTTCAGTCACATTTAATATTTCAGCCCCTCCTCGCAGACCGGCTCCCCAGACAGCCACATGGCTAGACTTTTCTTTAATCAGGCTCTGAAATAGAGAGTGATTATGAAAAGGACCTTGTGGGGAGGGCATGGCCCCATGGTAGAGTGTGTGCTTAGCATGCATGAGGTCCTGGGTTCAATCCTCAGCACCTCCATTTAAAAAAATAATAAACCTAATTACTTCCTCCAAAATAAAAAAGAAAAGAAAAGAAAAGGACCTTAATAATGCAAAGGCTGGGTGGTATTTTCTACAATGAAAATTTTTCTGAGGAAAAAAATTTCTAAATATGAACACGAGAGAATCTGGACCCTTGGGATGGGGCCCATTGTACCGATACATACCCACCCACTTCCTCTTGATTTAAACATACTTAGAAAATCGCACAAAACCAGGAAGCAGTTTAAACTGCTCCTGGGACATTTCCACCTGAATATCCTGCCATATGCACCTCAAACTCATTACATTCGAGACGGAACACAATACCTCCCACCACTGGCATGTTCTTCCTCATCCGTTGTTATAGTTTGAGAGCAGCTGTGTTACCCTGAGATGGATGAGCTTCGGAACTGGAAACCCCATGAACTGTACGCAATTGTTTGGACACATGTGCATCTGTGTGTTTTTCAGGAAAGCGTTCCATAGTCTTCCTCAGCTTCTCCACGGAATCTTTGATCTCGAAAGGGAAATGAAAGTCTGCCCTGCTGAGGCCCTCAGTCGGGTCTACATAAACATTTGCTGAGTACTCTTAGGCATTCTCAGTAGAGAATACCCACTGCTTTGGTTTTGTATGTAGTTGTCATAATTGAGTTGTCATAAATTTGCAGGATAGCCGATTGGGGCTTATGGTTCAGTGAGTCACTGTCAAACCAATTCTGCCACTAGTCCCCTCCCCCAAGTAGGGCCACACATCCCGGATCAAGTGTCTCTGAAGAACAGGAAGCAAGAGATCATAGTGAAACCTTTTTCTGGGTCTAAGGATTATTTTGATATGCCAATCTACACCTAATATACCTACTAGACCTACTAGACCTACTAGACCTGCACATTCTTGGAATGCTTGCCTTCATCTTCCCCAACTTTGCCCAGTTCATCCTTCTGATCTCAACTTAAGTATTCTTTCCCCCAGGGAAGACTTCCCTAATCCACACCCCTGGGAAAAGATCATAGACTCAAATTGTTAACTGTGGGTCTTGTTGCTTACTGAGTAGCTTAATGCAGGAAAGGGAATTGATTACCACTGGAACCTGGAGGCTGTCACTTCCGTCTCACTCTTAGATTAACCCAAGGTTGCCCTCCAGCCCCAACCTTTCCCAGAATTGCTTTGGCTTCCACAGGGAAGGCTGGGCTGGGGCTTAGCAGCAAACAAGCTTCAACAGACTCTTACATTTTGGAAGAGATTTAAATGAACATTTTGAAAACAAGGAGAGACACAGTGCTCCCTTGGTAAACCAAGAAAGACTAAGGAGACTGGTCATGGAAAACAGTCATGATGAAAGTTCAAGGGAATAAAACATTAAGATTTCTTTCACTGAATTTCTTCATTTTTAGAAAATATAACAATGTTCTAGTTTTCCCTTCAGAATATGTACTTTCTTATATCTGCCCATATTTTTTGTTTATGGAATTATCACAATTACAGTTAAATTATATTTGTATGATTTTACTTTTAAGGATCCTCTTTTGAACTTGCCCATAAACTCTGCAAGGGAAGAGGCTGTCTGTCTTGCTCATTGCTTAGCAATGCCAGGCATGCAGTAGATACCAACAAAATTTTGACACATGAATGGATTGCTTGATTAGTTAATATAGAATTGTGACTTTGTCTCTTTCCCAGTGAGAACAGTTTTTTGACCATAGTAATTAATTGTCATGCTGGATATGATTCTTGAAATGGGGTTGTTCCACGTGTCTCCTTAAAGCAGGGTCTCCCACCCTCAGCAAAACCAACATTCGGGGCAGGAGAATTCTTTGTTGTGGGGGCTGCCCTGTGCATGGTAGGATGTTCAGCAGCATCCCTGGCCTCTACCTACAGGATGTCAGTAGCATCACCCTCCCTAAGTTGTGACAACCAAAAGTGTCTCCAGACATTGTCAAATGTCCCCTGGGGGCTAAAACTGCCCCTCCCAACCACCATCCCAGATGAACACCACTGCTTAAAGAAAGAAGAAAATCATAAGAACTATTTCTGAATCATAAGAAGTATTTCTGAATCTGGCAGGATGAAGAAGAAGAAAAAAAAGCCATGGCTGAATGCCTTAAAATCTGTGCATCTGAGATAATCTCAGGCATATCTCCCCCCCATTTACTGTAATAAATCTGTAATCCAAAAAAATCCCTGGTTCTTAATACTTTAGTGTTTTTTTTTCATTACTTTACCTCAGTTTCTTACTGAAATTACCCTTTGAAAAATTCCAACTTTATCTCAAACTAAGAAGAAGAGGAATTTTATTTATTTATTTGTAATTCAGCAGGACAGTTACCTGAGGCTGAGACAGAAGGGAACCTAGAAAAGATCACAGAATTGGGTCTGCTGGGATGTGGCCCCCAACACACCTGAACCACTCCACACAGTGTGTTCAGCAAGACCTCTGACAGCTCACTCCAGACAAGCAGCGAACCACATGGAAAGGTGGCTGGAGCTATGGGAGTCAAGTTCTGCAGAGGGTAGGTGCCAGGAATTGCTTCATGATCTGACTCAGTTTTGTGTTTTCTCAGTTCCGGGTCTTTCTAAATAAAACATGAGAAACAGGGAGTTTAGAAGGAATAATGGTTTCTGATGAAGTGGGAAGACATATTTTTGCTTTAAAAATTAATTGCAGCTACTTCTGCATCCTGGGGGAGCTGCAGAACTCATCTCTGTAGGAAACTTGGTCATTTACTGAGAAATATTCAAGGAATGAAGCTGCAAACTGAACACAAACTAAAACTCAAATATACAAAGACCATGTGACTTTTAATTTTCTGTCATAGACCAAATCTTCATGTGCTCCCAACCCACTGAGTAACAGCCAATGTAGGGGTGGGGAGACCACATGAACTTTTCCAATTAAGAGCACACTGGACTGAAAATATTCTTTGAGGACTAAACATTTATCAATTAAAGCTTAATTCCCTATCAAAGATGGATTGCTCCTTCCTCTCCCTTTCCCCAACATGGCTCTATGTGTAGAGGAAGGCTCACATCTTGGCACTGGGGAGACGGAGCTCTGGCTGGAGTGGTGCCTGTCTTTGTATTGTCTCTACTGCTGGCCACCTGGTCCTGTCCTTGGGTGTGTACCCAAGGCTGGCTGGTACCCATTAAGGTGGGATGAGTCTGGGTCCTGCCGAGCACCCTACAGGTGATGGTTGCTAACATCTGCAGCTGAGGAACACAGCTTTGTCTATTCTCTTAGCTTGGTAAGGTCACCCTTGGCACTCAGCTCCATCTCATCCCTTTGCTGGTGGCTGTGCAGCCCAGCCACTGGAAGTCCAGCCACTAATCTCAGTCCACCCCACCTTGAGTTCCCAGCCTCAGGGTTTCTTTGCCTCAACCCCACCTTGTGACATCTGTGGCAATTTCCCCAGCCTGAATGTCATCTACTTTCAGCAGCCCCCCAAGGGCATTTGGGAACGTCTAGATTGCTCACAAACCATATATAGACTCCAAGGAGTCAAGCTCTCTACCTCAAATGTCTCTGCACATCTCCCTGTCCTGCAAAACCCTTGTGTACCCCATTCTATCCACCCCCAGGGCACTGAAGCCCGCCCCACATGGTAGTCTTCCTCAAGGGTTCCAGCTAAGAAAAGGACAAAAGCCCCTTTGCTGTCTGCTCTCTTTTTCTGACTGGATGACCTTGCACCTCCAGAACTTCAGCCTGGAGAGGACACAAGTGTCTCATAGCTTCCTTTCACCACCTGTTCCACAATGTTATCTGCTTCCTTTTTCCCATAATCCCTCAGGGTCAGAAGGTGGGCCTTCCACGCCGTCACCTTCTAATCCTCCGACCCCTTTGTAGCAGATACTTTTCTCAGTTCTCTCTCCCTGAATAATACTTTTCTTTCAGTTGCTGGTCTCTGCTCTTGATATGTTAATGACGGCTTATGGAATTTAGAAATCATTTCCTCTCTTGACAAAGACTGGCTTTTAAGACTATTATTTCCTTTCTGACAGCTCTGAAAGTCAAAAACTGGATATCGATTTCCCCTTCCTCTTTGCCTTCTTACTGCTACAGTCCTCATTCTGCCCAAGGCAAGCAGACAGCTCCGGCAGAGGAGAGGAGAAGCCATGTATAAAAATCAGAAAAAAGTGGACGTTATTATATTAATAAGAAAAAAAATAAATTCTCATTTCCATTTTGAAATAGAGCAGGACCCTGTGGGGTCCTCTCTGGTACAAATCCTTTCTGTGTGTCCCCTGTTCTTTTTTTGTAGAAAATGGGCTTCATTCAGCCTCCTTGACCTTCCCTGAGTTCCAAGGGGCAGATTCAAACAGCTGCACTTCAAGGGAGGGAGGGAATGAAGAGACAAGGGAGAAGCAGTTAAGAAACAATAGCCCAGCCTTGGGGCAGGGTCCTCTTCGCCTCAAGGAACATACATAACAATATCTTTGACTTCCTCTGCAGGAACTAAGGCCCCCATCCAGGTGGAGGATGGCGACTTTAGTACCACCTTGTTACCTCACCACCAACCAATCAGAAGAAAGTCACGCACTGCAGCCCTTACCCCAAATTTTGCCCATTGAAGAGTTTGGTTTTTTTGAGCATGAGCCACTCGTTCTCCTTGCTCACCATCTAATAAATCTTTCTCTGCTCCAAACTCCAATGGTTCGGTTTGTTCGGCCTTACTGTGTGTTGCGCACACGAACTTTTGTTCAGGAACAATTTCACAATTTAATGGGCCTTTTACGTGTGAAAGACAAGGTCCGGGGTGAGTACTGTGCTGCGGGGAGGTTGACGTAGGGTTCAGCAGGATAAAGTTAACGTGCTTGTCACTAGGGTAAGATTTTTCTAATGAAAAACAACTTCTGGCCTCATCTGGAGAGAGAGAAAACTGAGACAGGAGGGAAGGGGGCAGGGCACAACCACTGAAGGAATGACACAGCAATTGAGGACAGGACAAACCGGTTAGAACCAAGCTGGCAGAAGATGTGACTTCCAGTAGACCCTGAGCCTCATGGCACACCCACAGGCTCCTAGGTTGACTATAAGAGGTCAAAAAGTGGGCGGGGGGGCCGATTCCTGGAAATCTCTGCCTGTTGCCCCGAAGAAGTTGGAATAATCCTCCTACTAGCACATGGAATTACCGAGCCCATAAAAACTAACAACTCCACACCCTGAGGTCGTTCTCTCTCTTGCCTTCTGAGATGGCCTGCACTCTGTCTATGAAGCATGTAATCTGCTTTTACTTTAAACTAAACATCTGCTACACTGCTGTCTCTCTCTCTCCCTTTCGTTTTTTGAGATGGCCTGCATCCTGCTTATGGAGTGTGCATCTCCTAAGCTGTCCTCCCTCTGAGTGAGACGGACCCCACTCAGTCTGTGGGGTGTGTATCTCTTTAAATAAACTTGCTTTCACTTTATTATGCTTTGCTCTTGAATCCTTTCCTGTGCAAGACAAGAATCTATTCTCTGGCAACAAAACTTAAAACGTGTGTAAGAGAGGAAATGAAAGGGGACTAGAGAGGACAATCCTCAATAAGTTGGCAGGAGAGCCCGCCTGGGGGCGAGAGATGGCTGCCCGCCGGCACTCCCCATGGGAGAGGAGGTTGAAAACTGCAGGAATAGTGGTGTCTGAGTCTGACTTCCCCTCCTTTCACTGCCCATTGTCACTCTTGTGATAGCACGACCTTAGAGAAGGAAGATGGAGCTAGGAGCCTGTTTGGGGAAGAAGCAGACTAGAACGGAATGGAGATTTGGTAATAAAGGGACCAGAAGCAGCTCAGGAGAATCTGGGAGTCTGGGGTGCTAGCTGACAGGCTACAGCCAGGACAAGTGTCTTCCTGCCTACCATAGTCTGGGTACTTCCAGGTCTACATGAAGGGCTTGAGTTTTTTGACGTTAAATGTGAGTGTGGTAGATTAAAAATGGCCACCAACTCCCTGTCGCTCAAGAAGTGGTGTTTATCTCCCACAATCTGTAACTTGGTCTGGGCCCATGACTGCTTTAACCAAGAGAATGTGGTGGTGGTGTGATGCTGTGCCCATTCCGGATCTAAGTCTTGAAAAGTCTGGTAGATTATGCTTCTCATGTGTTGTGTCACCACGTAGCTATTCTCCTATGTTGTTTTTACCCCAATAGGACACCTCTTGTCTGACAAAAGACAGATTAACAAGAGAAAACCAGAAGTTTATTAACATGTGTGTCATATGTATCCATGGGAGCACTCAGAGGTGATAACTCAAAGAAGTGATTAGAACTCAGACTTATATGGCATCCATAGCAAATTTTGTAGGAGGTGACAAGACAAAGGAAAAGGACTTTGAGTCTCTAGAAGGACAAATTGTGGGAAGCTCAATTATATGGTAGATAAGAGCTAGTTTAAGCAGGGTTTGCTGCGTGGATTCCTCTGGTGCAGTCTGTGGGCTGATAAGGATCTAATGATGTCTCCACTGATTAACTTCAATTCTTTCTGATAGTATTGTATCCTGCTTTTAGGCAAATAGGGGGAGGGAAGAGGGCTTTCCTTGCATCTGCTTCTTCTCAATTGCATTCAACTCAAAATAATCATTATATCAGCACCATATTGTAGGACAGCATATTCTGCTACACTTCATCATGTTAGGAAGACCATACAGAGAAACTGCATGAAAGATCACATAGACAGCAAGAGGCTGTGAGATGGCATGGAGAAAGGGAGAGAGACATAGCCAAGCTCAAGCTTCCAGCCATCCTTGCCAATGTGTCAGATGTGTGAGTGAGTCATTGAAAGGTGCAGCCCTGGCCATTATCTGATTGCACCTCTGTGAGAGACCTCAAGAGAGATCAAAAGAAGAACCTCTTAGCTGAGCCCAGTAAACCCACAGAAGCATGAGATAGTGGTTGCTTTAAGTCACGGAGCTTTGAGTGGTTCTGTTACACACAGCGATCAGTAAGTGGAACAGTAGGATAGGACTGAATTATTTTTCTTGCATCATGGTGGCAGGGAAAAAGAGCATGAAGTTTGGGCACAACTCATACCTGCCTCCATCCAGAAGTGATAGGCGAAATTTCCACCCATATTTCATTAGCCAAAGCAAGTCACACAGCCATCCATGCGTAACTGCAAAGAAGTTATCTCCAGGAAGGGAAAGGGCGTGAGTGATGTTGACCACCCCACCTCTCGCAGCAAGGGAGGCTAGGGAAGCAGAGCAGGTTTGTAATAGTTTGCTGTGCTCACACATTACGGTCCTGCACACAGTCAGGATTCTGTTGTCACAGGTGAGGGCAGGAATAGGCACTAAGTTTGCCCTAAGTGGAGGGTGGGTGGGTAACAGAGAGATTGCAACGGCTGCCACCCGAACCCTCAGCCCCCACTGACATTGGTCTCACCCACTAGCTGTCTTAGTGCTCTCACTTTCAATCTATGTGTTTGGAACTTGAGTTTGGGAGGAGTCTGGATGGGGAAAAACAGAGGAGACAGAGGAGAAGAGAAAAGAGGCAGAAGAGAAGGAGGGAGGGAAAACGTAGTGCCTATGTACTTAGGCGTGAAATAAAAGAACTTGAATGCTCCTGATTCTGACTCCAGCGCTTTCAGGACCACTTAGGGGAAAA